AAGCAGCATGGCTGTGCTGGCACAGCGTTCTCTGGGCTGACACACTCCACTTCACAGCAGGGCTAGTTAGCACAGGCAAAGTAGTTCATCAGCATCATTACCTGTTTCTGGGGTGGCCCTGAGCCTGCCTCCCCTAGCTCTGGGGTTGAACACAGCACTCGGTTGGTAGCTGCCCTGACTGTACCCCACTACATCCCTGCACCCCAAAGCGACCCCAAATCACTCTGATTTATGATACAGCTTGCTGTGGTATCTGAGCAGCTGAGGGGTCAGGAAGGAAGGTGGCTCCATGTTTCCAGGCAGGATGTTGTTCAGCATCCGAAGGTTTGCATTTTCCTATCCATCCCCCATCATTGCCCCTCTGAGTCCAGCCCTATGTAACCACCACGAAAGACAGGAGATGGCATGCTGCTGAATGCAGTACAGGCTGGAGAACCCGATCGTCTTTGGTTCTCCATTTGTCACAATCCTCCAGCAAAAGTGACAGTCTGAGGAAGCTGTGAAGGGCTTCTGAGAAGAGATATCACTTCTGTTAATTATCCTACATGCATACTCCAACCTTTTCTAGTGTTTGCCACTGGAGAGAAGAGCTCATTTAGAGAGGGGGGAGGGGGGCGGAAAATAAAGCAATTAAAAGAATAGCTATAAGCCTAGCGAAGAGATAATAAATGACAGAGCTGTGGAATGCTAATGCCGTGTTCTTGGCTCCTTGTGAATGGACCTGTACAGCTAATCGGAGAGGTCTTGCTCCACTGAGTGGATCTCTCCTCAAAGGGTTGTCCTCTGCAGCTGTGAAAAAACGTATGAGATAGATAGAAAAGGAATTTTTAAAATCCCCTGCCAGGACTAAATTAGTTTGGTCAACAGCCATGTCTGACCTCCCCCTGCTTTCACAAGGACTGAGAGGTGCTCCTTCCTTCCAAGGGATGCAGAGCGGGTGTAAGCACTGGCCCAGGGAGCTGGAAGAAGATGGGAACTGTGGGTCAGACAAAGCAAGTTTTGTCCAGTAGCAAAGTAACATTTTGAGAAGGTTTCATCTGGTCATTTGTGACCCTGAAACTGTTTGACTTTCCATTTGCAATGTTTTTTTCCTTTTAAAGTTGATATATATCATTAGACAAGGTAAGAAAAGGTGTAGATAATTCTGCAAATATAACAGGATTTCCCAGGTGAACATCAGTCTAATGTTTTATAAAGCCCTGATTTGCCACTAAACCAAATATATATATATTTAAATGTGTGTGTACATATCATACACATAATTTGTGCAATTCCGGTAGCATTGATATTAATAGTAACATATCATTACCTCCCCATTAATCTTCAGGCAGCTCCCCATAAAGCACTGCTGAAACCTCCTGAAATAGCAGCTAAAACCAATAATGAAAAACCACCTAGCAACGTCTTGCTTTTGCCTCCTGCTCTGGTTGGGAGGAGGGAAGGAGGGCACCCAGTGTGAGAAAAACAGAGAGAAAAACACCATTTGATCATAATTTTTAAGCAACAGCAGGGTTATGAATATCATTTTGTCAAAAAAGGATTGAAACACATGAAAAATGAGCAATGATGGGACTTACAACAGCGCAGTTCTCTTACGGAGATACCTGGTCATAAAACCCCCGGGGTGGGTGTTTGGAGCCCATGCCCGCCATGCCACATCATTAACCTCCTAGAGACACTTCCCAGGCAGTCAAGAAGAAAGAAGGAGCCTCATTAATGCCCTTGGGCTATTTTGGGGTATCTCATTTCAGTTAAGCATCCTCCTAACCACACCTTGCTGCCAATGAGTTTTTCGCGGAGGAACAGTGATGCCCAAGACAGAAGCACACACTCCTCCAGCCACAGCACATCATGACTGATTCCCTGCAGCACCACAGCTACTCCTGCATCCGTAACCAGCCTCATCTTGCCATTCATCTGCCCAACTTTTCTCCTTTCCACTGTCTTCCCAACTAAAGCAAGTCAAGAAACTGGTACAGACATTCATTTTGTCTACTCCAGTAAGGCAGTTCCCTGCTCCTAAAAATACTCTAGGAAATTGAATCAACATTTTGTAATTTGGCTGGTAACAGCAATTACTAATTTTTTTTTCAGGAACATAATTTTTGTCATTTGCTACTCTAGCTGTAATGTAATTTCAATAGCAAACTTTGTTTTGCACACTAAACAAACATATGAGAAAAACAGAGATAAAACGGAATATAAAAAACCAGCTTTAAAAATAAACTTCAATCAAATTGCAAATAATTGTCATTTAAACAGCCTTTTGGAAAGATAAAGTTAATATTGTTCCTATGTTCTCCTGTAAAATGGAAAAATGAAAGCTCCGCTCCACTCGCTCAGTGTCAGCGGCACTCGAAATTGCAACCCTAGTGCTCAGGCATGCAGGAGGCTGGAGGCAGCATTCCTCCTGCCAGACCTCCCACAGATGCGCCGATTTACTGGGCAGACAAGAAAAGACAGGGCAAGATGAAGAGCACACACACAGCTTGAAGGACTGTACTAGATGCAAGACTGCAGTCAAGCAAACGACTTGTTTCATAGTGAAAAGCACTTTTGCACAAGGAAGCCCGGCTCTGCAATAGGTTTTCTGGAGACTGAGAGCGCTCTTGCAAATAAAAAACAAGGAATATTTCCTTCCCCCAACTTGATAAATTTGCTGTAGGTGTCTATGCTTTCCAAATCAATAAGCAAGTGCCAATTTCATGCAAGGATTTAACTTGGAAGTGTGACCAACTCATGGCTTTTCCTTCCAGCCAAGAACAGCAGATGCTACGCTGCTCTGTGCAAGTATTGGTCCCTAACGTGTATTGATGACTGGATCAAGCCAGCTTGGGAAAAGAAAAATACTATTCAATAGTAACGAATACTATTGTGGGAACTCTTGCCACGCTCAGGAGCAGCTCAGCGAGACCCCGCTTGTCGGCAGCACTGTTGCATGACATTTAGAAATGACACATTGTCTCTCTGTCCAGTTTAGAAGACATCCCTTACCAAGGCTCAGAGCAAGCTGCAGGCTGTCTACAATCCCCAAGCAAAAACGGACTGCAATCCAATTTCCCATTTCCAGAACGCCAGAGGAAACATCTGCACACTAACCCCCATACACCCCGGGTTATGCAGACATCAGCTGTCTGCATCCTTTCAAAGGCCAGATGAAAGTTTGTAAGCTCAGGCAATGCTATAAACTATTTCAGAAGAGAGGCAGGTGAGCACCCAAGTCCCAGAGTTTGTAGAGATCCCACCCAGGAGCATCACCTGGAGCTCGATAAATAGACCCACAAAGCATAAGGCAGCATCTAGTGTCTATTGAAGAGGAACCATTAGAAGGGACAGATCATTCTCAGTTAATTTCAGTAACAAGATCATTTAAGTTCCTTTGATTAATTATTCAGTGAACAGTATATACCACGCTGGTCTTTGGCATTTCAATCTTGGAACAAACTTTGGGAAGTACTCACATTGGAAAGACAGGATTTTGAGAAACCTCACATTTACTTTGCTTTCAGAAACATCTTCAGCCCTTGTACCAGGTTGATGAGCTTTACATCTGCTGCTTTGGTGCCAGCGCACTCTGGAGCGATCACTGCTTTCCAGGGGATATTTTGGATGGGTGGCAAAGCATGCACCACTCACACGGGCAAGACTCGATCTACCTGCTGCCAGAAGGCTTTATAATCAACCAGGCTATTATTTTTTTAAGCACTTACTTACTGCAAGACTTCTCATTTGAAATTGGATTCTCTTTTCATCTGCTTTTTGGACAGATTTTTTCTCTCTAGAGGAATAAGAGTCACACTGGAATATGACTCAAAGCTGGCTTTCATTTTTATTTCCAAACAGCCTAAACTACTCAGGCTTTTGAAGATGGGTTACTCTTGGAAAGAGACCACCAGTGGGCTGCGTCCTTTGTGCTGGTGCCCAACGCTGTCGCTAGCTGCCGGCAGAGGGGGCTCCCACGGGGGCCCCGCAGACCCCACGGCTTTGTGCCAATCCCGAACTCCACCGGTGCCAGACACTTGTCAGGGGGATCACAAACATCTCAGACCCTCCCAAAGGCAAGGGCAGTCAGAGGGGCACTGAGGGAGAGACGGCAAAGGCAGGCGGAGGGGCTGCTAACGAGTTTGTCACCTTGATTTGATAGCTCAGCGCAGCCTGCAAAAGCTTGATTGTCAGCAAGAGCAGTCAGGTGCCGTATTTAGTGTCAACTTTGATGCAACATAAAACTAAAGCACACCTAGAGCCCTCCTTTGCCGTCATTTTTCCCTGCTGCTACTGCAGCTGCGATGCAGAGAACGCAGTGCTGCTTGTGGATCCATCCACTTGCCCTTGCTGCCTTGCGGGGGCTTTGTACTGACAGAAGTGCAGCCACATCAGGCTGCTTGGATCAGAGCAGAGGCAAAGCATCTGCAACAGCAGCTGCAGGGCTTGGGCTGGCCTCTGCGCAGCTGAATTCCACCTTGAAGAGAAGGAGGCTCATTTCTTTTAAGTGCTAGAGCAATCACTGTACCAGGGGGTATTTTGGATGGGAGGTGAAGAAGGCATGGTCCAAGTGCAGGGGATAGAGAGAGATCACAAAGAGACAAGACCACAAATCATTCCAGTTTGTTGTGTGTAAAACAGCTGGATAGGACAACGCTTACAGAGATTCACACCATTACCTTTTATAGCACAGCGAAGCTTTTAGATAAAGTGGAAAAGCTGAAGAGTCATTTAAATACCTTCATGGGTAAAAACTAAGCATTATTTCAGATGCTGTAAAGATCAGGTTGCACTAAAGAAAATAGCCTGAAAAAAACACCAAGACAAAAGAAGTCATAGTGGCCATCACGATGAGACACGAACCAAGCAGAAATGAAGACTTTGCAAAGTTTTGCAAAGCGAGTTGCACCCTGCAGCCTCTGTGGTGCTTAGCTCTCTGGAGCAGCACTGCCCCTGCACACTAATGCCATGATCCAAAGGCTCCGTGAAACAAGGGGGTGTCAGCACAGGGAACTTACTTGGTGTTGTCTGAGTCAATGGTATGAAAGAGCTTCTCAAGTTCTTCTTCGTTGAGCGTTCCGTCAGAAAAAAAGGCCTGGAACTCCTCCAGGGACAGCTTCCCATCATCTGCAAACAGCAACACAGTCGCTATTAGGGAACAGGCAAAGCAAGGGGCACAACAACTGAAAATCAAGAGTTACGTTCAAATTTAAAGATTCAGACCAAAAATTATCTCCAAGTGCTTCTGCAGACCTGGCCCTCAACCAATGCAGAGCTCACCGGCCACAGGGTGGGAACTGGCAGCTCTGGCAGCACCACAGCCAGGTGAAGCTTCATTGCTCCTGGGTATGGGTCCATTGGCCGTTAGCAACTAATTGGGCTATTAACCCAAAGCATGACTCAAGCCTAAAGACTAAAAGCCTGCAAGTTTCATCCTAAAACTGAATTACATTTAAGAAGTTATGGAGCATTTTGTCTACCGTATGTTCAAATGATGCAGGATGCTCATTAAGGGACGTATGATAGATAGGAGAAGACCCAGGGCTGCAATTAATGACAGACCCAGCAGCATCTTTTGCCATCTCCACCTAGCTACACGTTCTCCAACACAGTACATCTCCCAGCTCTGGACAGAAACGCAAAATAGCAGCTACCAAGCATAACAAGACACATTTTGCTTCAGTTGTCAACTGTTTAAACACACAAGGACTGTGTCACCTTAATGTTGTGCTTTTACTTCTAAAGGGACCTGATGACGCACAGAATCCATCTGCCCGGCCATACGGGCTACAGCTTGCTGGGTGCCTTTTGGCAAACCTACCAGCACGCGAAGGAGTCACAAGACAGAGGTTTAATAATGTTCTCCTGGGTACCTAGAGAGGAACTTGCTGCAATTTCAGCAGCAAGCTCCAAGCTCATCCTTGAACGTTTATTTTGATACTGGTTCTGGCTAGAAGTGCACAGGCACTTTAGCAGCCTCATCTCCAGCTGTATGAAGAGGCCCTGCAGATAGTCAGTGCTTGGGGGAATGCGTCTCTGGTCTCAACTCAGAGACTGAAACATAACATCCAGATTTGAAAAATCTGGCCATACACTTTGCAGATTTTTTTAATATATTGGCCCCAGTGTTAATTTAATACTCAGCTTACTACAGCCTACTTAGATGACCAACAAAGAAAAAAATTATCAAATCCATGTACAACAGGATATAAGGAAGACTCCTTTGCAACTTTTGCTGATAAGGTGACAAAGGCTTATGCCTAACTGTTGTATCTGGAGCCTTTCACTGTGTGCTGTGGACAGGTACAGCATGTCTCTAAAACCACAGGTGGAGGCGAGAAGGTCTGAAGTTCAACAATAAAGCAATAGGAGAGAGACAAAAGAAACTTTAAAGAAACCTTGATTTACCTCAAGTTTCTTGTTCAAGCCACTGATGCTGCTCTGGTGTGCAGCAGTGCCTAGCACAGAATAACTGTCCCCGTTCACATACTATTTGGAGTCTTTCCATTCATATCCACAGAAGATTCATAGACTGGAAATGCTGTCTATTTTGCAGTAGGAAAACATATCATTTATTATTTAATCAGATAAATTATAAACCCTGTTGCTTCTCTTTCAGGAAATGATGCTAGAGGACAAAATTAGCCAACTTACCACATACGTATCAATATTTCTTCCCCAAACTAAATAAGTCTGCTGCTCCTAAAACATACCTGCATTGTCAAATGCTAACCCAGTTTCCCTTGCCTGACACAGACAAATTTAGACCAGTGATAAACTGAGTCCAAGATACTTATTTAATTGGCAATTACGAAAGGAACACAGCAGGAGAACAAAATCTACAGTAACGCTGGGTGAAAAGGGTATCATTTCCAGAGCACCACAATGGCTACACAGTGCCCAGCTGCCTCTATTGTTTTTCTTCATTCCTTCCCCAAAATGTGACCTCTTTGCAGCAGGCGGGGTGCAGAATATCAATGCACAGATGGGAGGATGGGTCACAGATCTGCTGTCTATTTTCGATTACAGAAAACTAAAGCATCTGGCAGGGGGAAAATACTTCAACAAGTACTTATTGCTTGAAGCATCCCACCAGTGTCACCTGGAGGCTAACCCAGTCGTGACAATCATTAGCTCAAGCAGACAAAAGACTGTGCCCAGAGCAAGAGCCCCATCCACACCATCCATCTCCACCTCTGCATATTGCACAACTGGATGAGAAGCTTCCCCCAACTCCTATTTATGCAGCATCCTAGCCAAGATCAAGGTCTGGTTCCTTCTGATCCCGACTGGCAATGAATGTCTTCAAGCATCAAGATCAAAAGGATAACAGCATTTCTATCCCACAAGGGTTAAACAGGTCTTTATCTAGGGTACAATTCCTGCAAACCTTAAATCAGTGCTTGTTCACCTCGAAACTGTCCTTCCACACAGAGAGCAGGCAGAATTAAACTCCCAGGAAAGTAATATAAATCAACTTACTGGGAAAGACAAATTGTAAAATCAAGTGATTTTTTTCAGGAAAGTACTGTAATCCAAATTTACCATTCACTCACCTCCAAAAGACACAAAGGTGTTTCTCTCAAAGTTTACAGAAAAAGTCTTTCTCCTTTACCCAGTTTATATCTTAGAACTTCTCTCTTTCATTTTATTCTTGCTTGCTTTTTTTTTTTTTTGATTAACGTGTGCCAGGCTGCATTTTTGCAGCAGCCTCTGAAATGCTGGTGTTTAAAATCTGTGCCAAAATACTGCTCTGACTCCTATCTTTCAGCCTCTAGAGTCACAGGTGAGAACAGGGAGGCAGGTACCACTATGCTTCAAAATTTTTTTGGCATTTAGCAGCACAAAGTAATACAGGATGGGCGAAGGATCTAGAAGAAGGAGGAGGTGACAGTGAATTTTATTTAATTTTTGTTGTTTGCAGACCCCACAGAACTGGTTGGCCCCTGGCAGGAATTTGAGTAAAAGTACAAATTTTACTCATAAACAGTGCTTGGGACTTTCATCCCCCAACAAATAACACCACAAAGTACCAATCAGCTTAAAGCTGATCGTTATTTAATACAAGCTGGAATACTTGTCTGCAAACACACAAAGCAAAAGTCTTCCAGAGTAACAAGATAATCCTTGAGCTGCATATCTATAATTGTGAAACAGCCTGAAAGCCGTGGGTTGCTGGAGCCTAGCAGGCAAGGAAGCCTTGGGGGAGCTCGGGCGATAAGGGGAAGCAGACCAGGCTGGGATTTGGCAGTTAAAATTAAAATGGTAGAAAATCCTAGGCCAGAAGGATTGATCACCACATTACTGACACCAGGTCCACCCGCTGGCGGGTGCTGTGATAAGAGCTGATGGAGACACTGTGCTCCAGGAGCAGTCTTATCAGGAAAGACACAGAAAAGCAAGCTTTTTCTGAAAGCAGAAGTGTCTGTGCTCGCCAAAGAACGGATAAGACTTCCAGAAACCTGCTTTTTGCTGAAAGCTCCTGGGTGCGAGAGATACAAATTCTCCAAATGAATTGTCAGGCTTCGTACCAGAGTGGCAGTGTCAATCGTACAGTTCAACCTCACCCATGCCCTGCCCTGCAGGAGCTCGTCTGGAGACACTTCAGCCCTTCTGATAGGGAGGATAATAGAATAATTGAGATTCCGCACCAGATCTCACTAAACAAAATAAAACTTCCATCAGTTTTAAGATCTGGGGAAGTCTTTATGACTTTCATCTGGATAGTCAGACAGATGAAGGGTACAATTCCTGCAAACCTTAAATCAGTGCTTGTTCACCTCAAAATTGTCCTTTGATGAAGGCAGACAACCTTCTTTCACCTACTCACCCCCCTTCCCTTTAAACCCAGCACTTGAAGTCAACATCTAAGCTGGCAGCAAGGACAAATGCCACCAACTAGAAATCGCCTACATTGGCACTGATTGTCTGAGAAAAGAGATAATCAGGCCGCAGCTATTCTGCCATTATTTTTTCCTGAGAAAGTAATCTTCATTTTACTCTAGCTTTTCAAAATAATTCAATCACAGGCAAAGAGCAAAGCAAATTACCGGCGAAACAGAGTTATCAAAGTTAAAACTAACCAACGAGAGAAGGATATAATGGAGAACATCAGAAAGCCCCAACTGGGATTTTATTATTGCTCCATTTGCCATTGTGAAAATCTGAAGAGTCTAGGGGCAGCTTTTACGCCTTCTAACTCGCACAATCAGGTTGTTCTCACCTGCTAATGCAGCCAGGGGGAAAAAAATCAAACTAAGATCATAAATCGTCCACGATATAGGAAATCTGATGGCTGAGTTTTTGGAAATCAACTCAACAATACAAATAGCTTAAAGCATCTACAAAATAAGGTCACTGTTCTGGGCCTGAGTTTGCTAAATCTGTTTTCAATTACATCAGGTTGAGACTGCTCATATATTTTCTAGCTATATTATGAATATATTTCATGACTTATCTTTATTACTCTGTGAGTTCTAAAATGCTTTAAGCCTGTTTAGTGTCCAAGCGTCAGCAGAGCTATGGGTAAACAAATTGGATTTTATTGTGGCCTGTGAATAGAAGTGACAACCGCGTTTTTTTTCTTCTTTCTTGGGAGTGTGTGCGCAGATACACAAGCCAGCGAGAACATAGACTGGCTTCTACCCTGGACCCTTCATCCAGTCCCCTCGGAAGTCAGCAGGAGCAGCTTTATTCATTTAAATGAAGCTGCATACTGACTTGAGTTTTCAGTCCTGGGCTGTTAGGAAAAATTACCTCCAGCTCCACAGATCTGATCTATGATAGATCTGAAAGATGCAGATCAGACACTAAATGTGAGACCTCAAAATATCCCTTTTAACAGAGTTTTTAATCTGCAAAACCTGCCTCAAAAGCTGGATGTTGTCCACGGTCAGGCAGCTGGACCCATTTTGAGATTTTTGCAGCAGGACTGCACTGATGGGGATGTCCTGGGCAGGCAGTCCATCACTTATTACCACGTTTCCCTGTGCCATGGCTCCGACCGTAACACAGATCCACCCAGAGGTACCGGGAACTGCACCCCAAGACCTGGCTGCAAAGGGAAGCCATACTGAACAGGGGAAAGAATAATGAAACAAATAGGCTCCTAAGCCTGGAGAAAGCCA